CGACTTCAGCTCAGGTCATGATCTCGCGATCTGTGAGGTTGAGCCCCGCGTCCGGCTCTATGCTGTCACCTCAGAGCCTGGAGCCTGCTTCAGATTCTGTCTTCCTCTCTCTCTGCCCCTCCCCCACTCATGTTCTGTCTGTCTGTCTGTCTCTCTCTCTCTCTCAAAGATGAATAAACGTTAAAAAAATTTTTTTTTAAAAAACACCTTTTTCTGTAAAACATTTTGACCTTGAATTTTTATTTTCATTGCCCTTATTATAATCAAATAATATAGGCATATGGGATAAACCAAGTATAACTTTTTTTGTGAAAAAAATTGAGGGATAGTTAGATAATATTTTTTATTGACTTTTTATTACTTTGGTTTTTCAATGAGTGTCAATAGATTTAAACACACTTATCAGAACAGAAAGATGTGCCTTTTCTTGGAGGTGAATTGTGGGAGGGGAATATTTGATTTTTAGCCTGGTAACTATCATCCTCTCCCTTTAGGGAGTAAGAGGAATAACTATGAAAGTTTATTTTGTTATGAACATATGACATAAAAATTTTCTATTAGTAGTGCTGTTGAAACTTATCTTCATATATGAAGGCAGGAATTTGAGGTGAAAACCACTTTATCCTGACTTCCCAGGTATATAGTAGTTTCTCATAGACATCCTGAGGGTAGAGATCAGAAACTGGGGGACAAAGGGAGATCTAATTAGAAATGAAGCAGGAAAATGAAGGTCTTACAGACCATGTTAAGAATTTGTATCTATTCTAAGGGGGATCACTTTAACATTTTAAACATTAAATGGGAAAACTATTACATTTGCATTTCTAAATGATTACTCAGTTGTTTTATGGATAAACATTTAGAAGAGAATGGACATAGGAGTTGGAGACAGGTTGGGGTCAAGGGACATTTAGGAAAGAAAAATCAGCAACATTTGGTGATGAATTCATTGAGATGAGCTCTGATAGAGTATCAAGTTTGAAAGGGTGAGGGAAAAAGTGAGAATTGTGAGAATTTCGTGTTTGGATGTTTTGAATTTGAGGTATATACGATACATTCTAGTAGACATTTCAAAAAGGCAATTAGTAATTAGTAGACGAACCTTTCCAATTTTTACATAAATAGATGAATAAGGAGCTCCCTAGTAAAATAAAGGATTTAAAAGTAAAACATAGGGGCGCCTGGGTGGCTCAGTGCAGACAGCTCAGAGCCTGGAGCCTGCTTTGAATTCTGTGTCTCCCTCTCTGCCCCTCCCCCACTCACACTCTGTATCTCTGTCTCTCAAAAAAAAAATAATAATAAATTAACATTAAAAAAAAGTAAAACATAAGCATTTGTGTTGAGTATTAAGAATCGTCATAGAGGGGCGCCTGGGTGGCGCAGTCGGTTAAGCGTCCGACTTCAGCCAGGTCACGATCTCGTGGTCCGTGAGTTCGAGCCCCGCGTCAGGCTCTGGGCTGATGGCTCAGAGCCTGGAGCCTGTTTCCGATTCTGTGTCTCCCTCTCTCTCTGCCCCTCCCCCGTTCATGCTCTGTCTCTCTCTGTCCCAAAAATAAATAAACGTTGAAAAAAAAATTTAAAAAAAAAAGAATCGTCATAGAGCTCCTGTTGGAGAAATACTTGTTTGGTTTAAAAAAAAAAATCAAGGGATTAAATAATTTCATTTCTAGCTGTTCATTTTTCCCTCCTTCTAGTCCTAGATCTAGAATTGATAAGGCATTAAATAGAGGTTAAGATTAATTAGATTGTAAATTAAATTCTTTGTTAAAGTGACTTATTATTTATCCTTTGCAATCTCCCATCTTATGTTCTCTATCTTGGTTAATGGAATTATAGTCAGTCCTTCCCAATCATGAGTTCTAAGGCATCCAGAATTCCCTTCTTTCACTCATTTCACTTTTTTTTTTTTTTTTGCCTTATTATAACAACATTTGTTGCAGTTAATCATTCTCTTTTCCTTGAAGTTTTCTCTTCACTTAACTTCCAGGATACCACCCTCTCCTAGTTCTGTTGCTCCCTATCTCCCTGGTTTGTTCTTTCTCATCTCCCCAGTCTCTAAACGGGATAGTGCCCCAGGGCTCACTTTTCACTCATTAATTAATTCAGCAGCTATCTTTTGAGCACCTACGGGGTGTCAGCGGTTGCTCTAGGCATGGGGGATAGAACAGTGGATACAACATTATTTGCCCTCATGGAAGTTACATTCTAGTAGAGAAGCTGCCCCAAATTAAAGTACATAAGTAAAATACAGAATATATTAGTGATAACTACTAAGGAGAGACAATAACCAGGGAAGGTAGACATACTTTTTACTTGTATATGCACTTGTGTAAAAAAGTATGTCTGTGTAACAAAACTGAGAAGTGACCATTGGATTTAGCGATGGGCTTTATAGGAGATCTTGGTAAATGTGACTTTTCTGGAGCGGTGTGGGCAAAAGGCTGATAGTGTATTTGAGGAAGAAAGGGGCAGGAAAACTGATGATAGTGATTAGAAACATCTCTTTCACAGGGATGCAAGGTCTTTGTGATTCTCAGTCCCAAATATTCAACGAATCTGCCCTTTCTTCTGTATTCTCAGTGTTAATGCATTTATTCAGGCTTTCCTTTCCTTTGGGCTTAGTGCAGTGATCTCTTTGCCTTTAGCCTGTGACCCCATAATGCCAACTTAATATATGCTTGCCAAATTTGTCTTTTGAAAACACTGGTCAGATCATGCTCCTCCCCTGCTCAGTGTCCTTCATTTTCTTCCCTACTTCACTTAGAGGGTGAAGTCTACTCATAAATAATGACTATGCCTTTTGTGATTATGCCTCTGCCAACTTTTCTGCTTTCATAGCCTGCCTCTTCCGTATACTTTCTGCACTCTAGTTCTGTCAAACTCTGGATTTTCCTAAGTGCACCATGTTCTTTTATTCTTGTCTGTTTTTATAAATAAAGTCTGGTACTGTTCCTGAACATCCCTTCTCATACTTTAGGAGCTGTGGCTTGCCTGAGACCAGGTTAATGTGAAGAAGCAGAGGCTATTCCAGTTTTTAGAATCTTATTAGGAAGCTTTTCATCTAGGTGACATCATCATCTTGGTGGTATAACTTCTCAAGCCCAGCCCAAAGGAGTAAATTGAGTCTAGTTAATGATAGGTTAAAACTACCTTGACATTACACAATATTATCCCAGTTTAGTCCACAATCCCCCAAGCCACCAAAATCAGTAATAAACAGGGTGTTAACCCATGAATGTAAACTTTATCCTCAATTTAGAGATCATATCCTTCTGTACAGTTAGTATTTCTTACCTGTAGGATCTGTCTATTAACACTGGAAACTTGCAAATGGATCCAGTTCATCACTGTCTCATAGCTCCGCTCAATGTCTACTAACGCTTCTTGACTTTGGCTGCACGTTCAGTCATCCAGGGAATTTTAAAGACCCTATCATGCTTGGGTCTGACTCTAAGTATTCTCACTTCATTGATCTGGGTGGTAACTTGAGCATAAGGATTTTTTTTAAATCCCTGGATTTCTAGACCAGTCTGATATGTGGCCAAGATTGAGACTTATATGTATCCTCAGCATCCAGTTCCAACAGATAAGAACACCAAAAATACATAAGGTAAGAGAGTGTGTGTGTATACACCTACTGACATTCAGTTACAATTTTTTTTTTAATTTTTAATGTTTTTTTTTTCTTGAGAGAGAGAGCGAGAGACAGTGTGAGTGGGGGAGGGGCGGAGAGCAAGGGAGACACAGAATCCGAAGCAGGCTCCAGACTCTGAGCTGTCAGCACAGAGCCTGACACGGGGCTCAAACTCACGAGCCATGAGATCATGACCTGAGCCGAATCAGATGCTTAACTGACTGAGCCACCCGGGTGCCCTGACATTCAGTTATAATTTTAGCTATTGTTAAGTTGCTGTGTTGGACTCTTTTATTCAAAGCTTCAACCCCACAAAGTGTTTAAAAAGTGTAAATTGACAAAAATAAACTGAAAATTCCTTCTAGCTCTGTCATTCTATGCTTATCTATAAGAGATATCTATGCTTCCTAAAAATTCCACGCAGAAAAAGCTGCTGAACTCAAGAATTTGAGTGAGCCATACTGAGTATCTAATTTGAGGTGAAGAGGTTTGAAATCAGAGATTGTTTCAAAATCACCTTGGAATTTTTTCATCTTTTTTTGGTCTCCTACCAACTGTAACATGTCATGATATATTTGTGTATAGAAAGAGAATGGTGGAGAAGAGAACAGGCTTTAGAATTAGGCCTGGCTTCAGATCCTGGATCCTGCACTTAACTAACTCCAGCTGTGGCCATATTTGCTGAAAATCTCAACTCCTGTTTCCTGATCTATCAAAAAGAAAAAATGATAATTATATTATAAGGTTTTATTGAGGATTGAGTGACATAAATTTGTAAAACACTTAGCACAGTGCCTGACACATAATAAGAGCCAAAGAGGTAGTGTCTGTTTTCATCAACGTTGGCACAGCTGAAGAAGCTAGGGCTTGAATTTTCTTTTGCAGTGATGTAGGGCATGTCAACATGTCTACCTGTTTAGTTAATTTGAGTGTATGGATAGTGTGCATTCTTGGAATTATTTGATGAGGATAGCAATTTGCTTTTGTGGTCTTCCTCCCCTAAACCTATAACCAAAGTCTAATCATGAGAAAAACATCAGACAAACCCCAACTGAGGGCATTCTACTAAACTGACCCATACATCTCAAAACTGTCAAGGTTACCAACAAAAAAGTCTGAGAAACTAATCTAAGGAACCTAATATGTGATGACTAAATGTAATGTATCACGGACTGGAAAATATATATTAAATAAAAACTGAGGAAATCTCAAAGTGTGGACTTTAGTTAATAATGTATCAATATGATTCATTAGTTTTGGCAAATGACTAATCTAAGTGGGAAACCAGGTGTAGGGTTTATGAGATTTCCCTATACTACCTCAGCAACTTTTCTATAAATCTAAAACCATTCTAAAATAAAAGTTAGTGCTCCCTTTGGCAACACATATACTAAAATTGGAACGATACAGAGAAGATTATCATGGCCCCTGCACAAAGATGACACACAAATTCGTAAAGCATTCCATATTTTTGAGGAGGACAGATATCATGTTTTCATTCCTATGTGGATCTTGAGAAACTGAGAGAAGACCATGGGGGAAGGGAAGGGGAAAAGAATAGTTACAAACAGAGAGGGAGGGAAGCAAGCCATAAGAGACTCTTAAATACAGAGAATAAACTGATGGGCGGGGGGTAGAGGAGAGGGGGAAATGGGTGATGGGCATTGAGGAGGGCCCTTGTTGGGATGAGCACTGGGTGTTTATGTAAGCGATGAACCATGGGGATCCACCCCAAAAACTAAGAGCACACTTTGCACACTGTATGTTAGACAATTTGACAATAAATTATATTTAAAAACTAAATAAATAAAATAAAAATTTTATTAATAAAAAACAAGAAAAAATGTATCATTGTAGATACATTTTTTGTTTAATTTTTTTTTAACATTTATTTATTTTTGAGAGAGAGAGGTACAGCACAAGCAGGGAAGAGCAGAGAGAGAGGGAGACACAGAATCCAAAGCAGGCTCCAGGCTCCGAGCTGCCAGCATAGAGCCTGACGCGGGGCTCAAACTCACAGACCGTGAGATCATGACCTGAGCCGAAGTTGGCCACTCAACCAACTGAGCCACCCAGGCGCCCCGATACCTTTATTTTTAAAGGTTGCTCCATTAATTTAATTGTGTTAGGCTTGACATTTTGTATATTCATTGTGCACTTTGAAAGCACAGTCATCAACTTTTAAAATACATTATTGCTGGTGATTGCTCCATTTACAATTAGCGAGTCTACTTTGTTTTCCTCTTATTAGTCCTCATCATTGATGCATAGCTCCATCATGAGAATCAAAACATTCTGTGTTTAGAACTTTTCTTGAGCCTACGGATCAGACCTTCTGGGATACCTTAGGCAATTTTGGATAACTTAGGCAAATATCAGTTAATAACTCATCATAGGGAAGTTATTTTTCTTATTTAGATTTAGAATATATAAGCTAGATCTGTGCGAACCTGTGAAAAGTACTGATAGCATTATGTTAATAAATACTTCTTAGTTGGTATAGTATGCTTCCTTTTTTCTTTAGAGGAAGAGCCACTATAGATGTTTTCTAACGAACAAAGTCAATTTTAGGTGGCTCTGGGCTTCCCTATGAAAGTTCTTATTGATAATTAAGATCTCTGAGATTGTTATGGAGGATAAGGGCTTAATGTTTAGGATAATGCCACTTTTCTTTTTATAGTTACAGTTTGGATAAGAAAAGAAAAACACTGAACTTCTTAAATTGTGTCTCAAACCACATTAATACCACTTATTTTTTTCTTGAACTTGATTTGGTTTTATGAATGCATTAATTTTAGAGCTGGCCCTTGACAAAATTAATTCAACAATGTTTTTTGTTTGTTTGTTTGTTTGTTTTGAGAATACCCATGCCATACCAGATTCCAAGTTGGCAATGAAAATACCAAGATGAAAAAGGCTTTCAAAGGCACACTTTAAACTTTTTATAGTCCGAAGATAGTCATATAAATAATTAATCATTATGTAGTGTGGCAGTGCCGTAAAACAGATATGGGTAATGTGCTATAGAAGCACAGAAGAGGGAACAATTAATTCTTAATGGGAGGCATCCCAAAAGTCTTATAGAGAGGATCAGAGAATGATATTTAAGCTATCTTTTGGCGAAAGGATGTTGCTACTGATGGGATGATGATAAATGAAGATTCCAGTTATCAAAAAAAAAAAAAGATTCCAGTTTCCATTTATTCGTGTTTATTTAGTGCCAGGTGGCATGCTGTGTTTTATATACATTACTACATTTGTTTTTCACTACAACTCCATAGGTATTACAGCTTCAAAAGAAATTGAGGTTCAGGGAAATTAATGAATATTCCTAAGTAGTTCGAAGATTGAGTCCAGCTTAGTTCTGCTAGACACCAATACCTGTTAAAATGTGTAGGATATAATTTCTTATATTGTCCAGTAAAGGCAGCTGCATTTTAAGTAGAAGAAATAGCGTGAATAAATTGATGGAGGCATTATAATGCATTTCCTCTTTGAATATCATCAAGTAGTTTGGTGTGCCAGCATATAGGGGAATGTATTATTTAGGATGTTACAGTTGCAGGGAATAGAGTATTTGTCCCAGAATTGCTTGAATCTGGGGTTAGCTAACTTTTTCTGTGAAAGTCTGGATAGTAAATATGTTAGGTGTTGTAGGCCAGATAGTTGCAAATACTGAACTCTGTCATTGTAGTGTAAAAGCAGCCATTCACTATATATAAATGAGTGATCATGACCACATGCTAATAAAACTTCATTTATGGACACTCACATTTGGATTTGATATACATTTTATGTCACAAAGTATTACTGTTTTAACTTTCAGTCATTTAAAAGTGTGAAATCTGTTGTTACTTCGCTCACTGGCTGTACAAAAATAGGTAGCAGGCTAGATTTGGCTTATGTGCTAGTTTATTCACCTCTGGTTTATATGATGGTGAGGATTTATTGGACCAGAAGTAGGGTAATTTTCTTCAGTTATCCAGTGTTAGTAAGGACGTTGGTGTCTTCCATCTCTGTCCTAATTTTCATAGTAATAACTTTATCCTATGATTTATTCCCTTTATTTTTAAGAATGGCAGCCAGAATATCCAGGGTCTCCATGGGTTGTCTTCTATGTCTAGTGAGAGAGAAGACCTTCTCCAGAAACTCTTTCTAATCTCTCTTGAGCTTAATCCCATCAGGTTTCATCCCTACCACTCCACAGGAACCATGTTAAATCATCTACATTGACTAAATTTAGTGATCCGTTCTCAGTTTCATATTACTTGACCTATCAACATTTGATCTTTTCCCTTCCATGAAACTCTTTTCTTAACTTCTGTACTCTGCTAGTTTTATTTCTGTTCTCTGGTTACTACTCTTTATTGTCTGGTGTTTTTCCTCATACCACCAGCTTCTGCATGTTGGATTCAGCCCCAAGCTTTAGTCTTTTGACTCTCTCACTCTCTCTCTCTCTCTCTCTCTCTCTGTCTCTGTCTCTCTCTGTCTCTGTCTCTCTCTCTCTCACACAAACACACACACACACACTTATACTCCCTTATGTGGGGATGTCATACAGTTTAAAAGTAGTTTATGTACTGATGGCATATGTATGTTCATGTTCACGTCTGCTTATTTGTGTAACAGGCATCTCAAGCTTAGTATGTCCAGAACTGATTTCCAAATACTTCCCTCATACCCAGACTTATTCTCTCACAGTCTTTCCTGTCTCAGTAAATTGCAGATCCATTGGTTGGGTCCAAGATACTAGAATTACCCGGATTATTTCTTTATTTTTCTCTTCTGACAGTAGATTCTCTCTGCTGTACCTTCAAGATAAATCCAGCATCTGACTCCTTCTCACCACTTCCACTGCTCCCTTAGTCGAAGTGTTCATTCTTCTTCTGGATTTTTGCAGTAGCCTCTGAATTGATTTCTGCCTGCTTCTGCTCTCTTTCCCCTGAAGTCCCCTCTACCACCACTTCAATGATTTCTTTGTTATAGGGGCACCTGGGTGGCTCAGTTCGTTAAACAACCAACTTCGGCTTAGGTCGTGATCTCGTGGTTTATGACTTAGAGCTGTTTCGGGCTCTGTGCCGACAGCTCAGAGCCTGGAGCCTGCTTCAGATTCTGTGTCTCCCTCTTTCTTTGTCCCTCTGCTGCTCATGCTCCGTCTCTCTCTTTCTCAAAAATAAATAAAAATACATTAAAACAATTTCTTTGTTATAAAAGATAACAGTAGAGATTTTTGAAACCAGACAATTTGAATTTTAGGATTGTGGTGTGATTTGGGGACAGTAACTTTCCTTCCCTGAGTCTCAGTCTTATATTTAAGGGGTAAATGGGTGATTCAGTTGGTTAAGCGGCCAACTCTTGATCTTGGCTCAGGTCATGTGAGTTCGAGCCCCGCATCAGGCTCCATGCTGACAGTGTGGAGTCTGCTTGGGATTCATTCTTTCTCTCTCTGTCTCTCTCAGAATACATACATACATACATACATACATACATACATACATTCTACCTACCTACCTACTTACCTTTGGATAATAAATCTGGCTTATGTTCTTGGTCCTTCCTTTTGTATTAAAAAAAAAAAAAATTCCACTCATACCTTCCAGTTCTTGTCTGCCTTTGTTGGCATTAAGTGTACATAGTTCTTACAGATTCATGCCTGGCCAGTAAAAGGAACCAGAGTTTATAGTTGAATAGTAAAAGTATTGTATTTTATGCAGTTTTAATACCCCTCCCATGCTTTCTATTAGGGCAGTATATTTAAAGTTTCCAAAGGAGAATTAAAGGCAACCAAACTTCAAAATTTTAATTTATAATCTCATCTGTTATTTATACTAGCACAGTATTTAGCTGAGAAGACTAAAGATGAGCTTAGGTTACCAAATTCAAGGTCACTTAAATTGTTAATTTTTCAGCTGTAATATTTTGATCCTGGGTTGAGAAGAAGAATCATTTAAAGTATCCCCTACTTACAGAAAAGAAAATATTTTTCTTGGCATGGTTCAGGCACTTTCTTAATAGACTTTCTCTAACTTAAATCCCTTCATAGAAATCACTACATACTGAATATCTCTATATGGTTGGTATTTCTTTACCAGGACTGTTTTAGTGCTATAATACACCTGAGTTGAAAGCTATCTACCCTATGAAGTAAATTCTCCTATGACATTTTGCATAGGAAATAATGGGAATAGGAAATCTATTAAGGTTTCTCCATATTAAATATACATTGTTTTATATTACTTGCTGGGTTTAACTCAGTATGCAGGTAAAAAAACAAATGTTCTTTGCTGATTATCTTAAATCCAGGAAACCTAAGTTCTGCTTTTAACAGCTAGCACCTGAGTTGGACAGTCAGGTCTTTTTATTTCTGTACCTGTTACATCAGGGGTTTTCTTCTGTAAAGTTCACAGTATATCTGAAGTAAGTCTTTAATTCAAGTTTGATGAGTAAATTCTAACTTCATAGATGCACCCCTGTCCTACTGTCTACACTCTGGGGTGAGGTAATAAGTGTCATGCAAATAGCTTGACTTGCTTAATGACTGAAGGTCTTCTGTTTTGTCCATAAATGTTGATGTGTCCTGTGTGGGAGGTCTTACCTGTACTGAAAGAATTGTGTGTTAAAGCAAAAACATTTATAGTACTGTATGTCACTGCAATCTTGCTGTTTTGGATAATGGTTTCGTTGGTTCCATAAGCATACCGCAAACACTTTCAAAGGGGTTGAAATTTTTCCCTACATCATTTTGGGGAAGTGGTGAGTTTATTCTTTTTGAAAAATCTTTATTGTCTACTTTTACCTGAGGGTTAATCTCAGCTCTTACGATTAGTCTCCACTGAGGTAAGGCATGGTTGGTTATAAGGTTTCAGTCTTAGAGGAGTGAACTGCTCAAATTTATTGCAATGTATTTCTGATTTTATTTTGAAAATTTAGGCAGTTAAAACATTATAGATTATGGTGGTATCAAATGGTGATTTTTTTTGTCTTCATATTCATTGGCTTGCTGACTCAAAATTATGTCTTAAGCCATTTCTTGCCTATTTTTTCCCTGTGTATTATTTTATCAATACCGTAACATTCTGGAGATCATGCAAATTTTTGAAGCCTAGTTTTTAATTTATTTTTTTCCTCTTATTGTTTAGGAAGACAGTGCTGCTGACAGAAACATCTGTTTTATTCAAAGGACTTCTCACATACTTTAAGAGCATGTTTTGATGTTAAAACAGAAATTTGTGTGTATATATATTTTTTATCCACATAGAAAAATCAGAAAAATGAAAATTTAAGACCTGCCTGAATATGAATGTTGCTCATTGTCATTGATTTCCAAGTAAAGGAAAAGAAAGACACTTGCATAAAAAAATTAATTACTAGGAAGGAAAATTGACTAGTACTGTATTTGCATATCCTGATTTAAGATGCCATATATTTCTAGTATAGTTTTCTATTTTTGATAAAATGAATCTTTATTCCACAATAATTTATGACTGCATAATTCTTTATCTTTTTTTTTTTAATCTGTTAAAAGACTTAGATTGTTTGACCTGTAAAATTTCCCATAGTCTGTATTTTGTTGATCATGTGCTTAGGAACAATTCAACATTTTCATCTGCCCTTTGTTTTTCCTGAAAACCCACAGATTCAGTAGTTTGACCAGACTCAGGTTTGATTGAAAACTATAACTGCGCTCCTGTCACCAGGAGACATACAGTGTCTGGTGTTTATTCCCTTTTTAGTGTTATTAGTAATTGATATTCAGTGCCTCTGGAGCTGTTCACTCATAAAATGGTGATATTCTGATTTTTTCTTGTTTCCCATTTATTGTCTGGAATGATTTTATAGAAGATCTCTGTTATGTACTCTTGGGCTACCAGTACAGTTTATATAGGAAATGTAGGAATTATTTAATTCTTTCCTTTCCCCCCAAATTTCAAGATAATGAACTGGGTTTCTATCATGCTTAGAAGGTGACCAGTTAGTGTCATGTTGTTTGTAGATATCATTGTGATCTCATGACCAGTGAGAGCTTCTTTACTGAGTCTTTTTGATATGACCCTAGTTGTACATTGTCTTTGATAGCTTCCTTACAACTGCACGTCAGGATGGTTCAGGTTCATTAGTACATATCCTTTGCTAAACTATCTAGGGTTTTTTTTTTTTTTTAATTTAACTAAAAAAAAATCTTTAATGTTTATTTTTGAGAGAGAGAGAGAGACAGACAGAGCATGAGAGGTAGAGGTGCAGAGAGAGAGAGACGGAGACGCAAAATCCGAAGCAGGCTTCAGGCTCTGAGCTCTCAGCACAGAGCCCAATGAGAGGCTCAAACCTGCAAACTGTGAGATCATGACCTGAGCCAAAGTCGCATGCTTAACCGACAGAGCCACCCACGCGCCCCTAACCAAAATTTTTTAAAAGCAAGCTCTACGCCCAACACGGGGCTTTAGCTCACGGCCCCGAGATCAGGAGTTGTATGCTCTACCCACTGAGCCAGCTGGGTGCCCCTAAGCCAGCTAGTTCTTTAAGAAGTCCTGGTTTGTCTTAATGGAGAATGGCATTTCAAGATCACAGTCGGGGTGCTAGGAGTGGTCATTGCCACTCAAGCACTCTTTGTAAGTGCTTTTAGTGGACAGAACTAGGGTATACCCGTGACTTATAATATTGTACTTACATTTGCAATGTAGATTCAGTACTACAGAGTTTTTACTTCTGTGTATTTTTATATCCATATTTTCTTTCTTCCACACTGAGAATTCTGGTTCTCAAGGAGACAATAACATTAGAGTATCCCATAATTAATCATTTGCTTTATCCCTCTTTGTAAAGATCTCAGAACATTATTGCCACTGGTTTTGATTACTGAAATCAGTTAACTTTTTGTTGTTTTTTAAAATGCTTTCTCCAACCTCTATCCCCTCCATTTTTTTATGGTAGCACTGCATCTACATTGTCAGATCTTATAGCCATTACATTCTGTAATCTCCCCATTTAAAAACTCTGATTTATTTCGGTGTTTCTCCTGTTGCTTTGATTGCCTATAGCTAGTTCTCTAGAAGAGCCAGGACAAGTTCATTGGGACAGTATTCCCTGAGGTTTTGCATGTTGATAACAGTTTGTCTTTATACTAAAAGGTTAGTTTTACTGGATATAAAATCTTTGGTTCAAGTTTTCTTTGTGTATTTGAAATTTATTATTTTCTCTTATAAATCATGTGACGCTTTTGCCTAAATGCCCAAGAGATTTTTTTCCCCTTTTTTCTTTAAAGTCCAGTAATTTTAGTAAAAAATTACTTGGTGCATTGATCTAAGTTGATTATCTCAACTACACAGGGTGCTCTTGCAATATGTAGTTTCAGATATACTGTATATACATATATATGTGTGTGAGAATGTATACATGTATTTATACACACATATAACTATATATCACATATAACGTATACACATTTTTTTCTGGGAAAGCATTTTTGTATTACAGTTTTAAATATTTGTTTTGTTCTCTCACTTTGTTTTTCTCCTTTAGGGCTTCTTTTTTTAATTTTTCTTATTTTTGGTCTTATGCTGAATCTTCTTTGCTTATCTCTGATATTTGGCACCTTCTCAAATCCTTTTTAATGTCTCTTTTTTTTAATTTGTTAAAGATTTTCTTCCTTTTTACTCTCTGTTTCTTTTAAGGTCTTTTGTTATGTTTATTTGTGCTTGTTTTCTTACGGCTTAGTCTTCAGTACTGAAATGATTTTTGTTTTATTTCTAGTTCTTAGTTTTTGTCTCCTCATTTCTGAGTTTTTCTGATTCTGATTTATATTGCTGTTTCATGTGTTACCTAATTTTCTTATTATCTCTCATAAGACCTCTAAATATAATTTTTATTAGTAAAACATAGAGTCCAGGGGATTATTTGACATACTTTATACAAATAAACAGCTGTAATTAATTTAGACATTGCTTTAAATCTTTAAATCAAAGCTTCTATACTAGAATCTGTGAGTGAACTTTAGAGTTGATAAAATTACTCATTACGTGTGAGGTAGAGTGTATAGTATAGGGGTAGGGAAAAAAACACCTTGAATTTCTTTAGACTTCCAGAGGGAAATGTAAACTGTCCTCAAAAAAATATGTGTAAAAACTTTTCATTTATATAGGAAAAAGTCCTCAAATATTTTAATGATTAAGATTATAAGAACTAAAAACAAATGATAGATATTATTGTTTTGAGATACAGATGGCACCATAGATAATTTCATTATCTATTTGCTCTCTTTCTACTTTTATATAGATGGAGGGAGCGAGGAACCACCGGATCGAAGACAGTCAAGTGTAGACTCTCGCCAAAGCCGCTCTGGGCAAGGTAAATTTTCATTAAATTTATTATTAAAATGAAAAAGACAAGATATCAGTTATTCCTTTCTAGTATTTAATCTGAGGATTGGGGTTTCCTTGGGTCTAGTTTGGATATTCTAGTTTCTCCTTTACAGCTTTAAATGTTACAGTCTAAAAGTTCTGTGATATCATTTATTCAAGATAAAATGAAAACTGGTGTCATGTCTTTTTTTAAATGGTAATACCTTAATAAGGTCTTAAGTAATTTTGGAGCATTTGATACATGTCTGGATATCACTGTTGGAATACAACCAAAAGTAAATTTTTTACATTTATAACAACACACTGGCTTTGTAAAATTTCATCAATGCAGGGCACCTGGGTGGCTTAGTTGGGTAAACATGTGACTTGGGCTCAGGTCATGATTTCGGGTTTGTGGGTTTGAGTCCTTGTTGGGCTCTGTGCTGACAGTTCAGAACCTGGAGGCTGCTTTCGATTCTGTGTCTCCCTCTCTCTCTGCCTCTCCTCTGCTCGAGCTCTGTCTCTCTCTCAAAAATAATTAAACAAGGGGCGCCTGGGTGGCGCAGTCGGTTAAGCGTCCGACTTCAGCCAGGTCACGATCTCGCGGTCCGTGAGTTCGAGCCCCGCGTCAGGCTCTGGGCTGATGGCTCGGAGCCTGGAGCCTGTTTACGATTCTGTGTCTCCCTCTCTCTCTGCCCCTCCCCCGTTCATGCTCTGTCTCTCTCTGTCCCAAAAATAAAAAACGTTGAAAAAAAAAAATTAAAAAAAAAAAATAATTAAACAAAAAAATTTTAAAAAATAAAATTTCATCAATGCGATATTGTTTTAGCTCTCTCAGAAGAATAATTTTTGTTTCTAATTTCCATCTTGAATTAGGATTTTCTTAATTAGTTTCCTTTTCTATTTAAAATTTAGTATGTGCTTTAGACTGTTTTTTTGAAGTGACAACTTCCAAACTAGGTAAAAAATATCTGGTATCAATGAAATCTTCAGATAGGTCTTCCTTAATTAACTTATTTAAATATGTACTAACTTATTTAAAATAGTAGTTATCCACTTTTTATTTATTTTATTTTCTCTGTCCAAAACTAGAATGAATGCTCCATGATTGCAGAGATTTTTGTTTGTTTTGTTCATTGCTGTATTTCTTGTGCCAAGAATAAGTACCTGATATATAGTAGTTACTAAATAAATACTGCTGAATGAATGAAATGATCTCTATGAGAATTGAGAACCCAAACTGATGAATGTGTTAAAAAATCTCAGGCAGTCAGTGTGTGTGATTTTTAGAGAATCTTTACTTATACATAAAATAAAGCTTAGAGTTACAAATTTATGGTGTTTTAATCTTATTAAAGTTCCTGATTTATTTCATAATCCTATTCCCTTTTTTCCCCAAGTTTGCTCTTCCCAAGTTTTAGAGTTGTGCTATTTTTATAAAATTGTTTGTTGCAGAATAAAAAGAGGAATAATATATGCAGGTTGATTTGCAAATTTTAACTTGTACTAGTATTTATTCATTTTTAATTAATACACATGTATAAGTATGTCAAGAATTTGTCTAATTGTTTTCTTTTTTTCCCCCTTAAACATTTTTATATGAAAAAAGAACTTGAAAAAATGAATTATAGTACATAAATATATCAAATCAACACATGGTACACCTTAAACTTTCATAATGTCATATGTCAATTGTATCTCAGTAAACCTGCAGGGAGGGGGAAGGAAAGAAAATGAGCTCATGTACAAAAGACCCTAAAAATAAAATTAGGAGAAATTAATTTTTAAAAGTATACTAATTTTTATTAAATATTATAATTTTTAATATCATAATTTGTATTAAATGTCACAGATATAGATGTGAGAGTTTATTCATTTACTTATATCCCCTGAGCTTGTCTGTTAAAGTTTTTTTTCAAATCAGTGAGTGTAGTTGAATTCTAATAAAAACAGCTGAACTTAGTATGAACTTCATAACAACAAAATCAATGATCTCCATGTTCTTGAGCACAACTACCTGATCTCAGTTAAAAATGACCAGGAATGGCATCATCATCAGAGCTAACTAATAGTTAAATTGTGTTTCTTACCTTCTTGAAGATTTTGTTTGTATTATCTCTTTATTCAAAAGACAGAAATAAAAAATACAAAGCCATTTATAATGAGCTGAATGGGAGTCTGTATTATCTGTATTATCAGGGATGAAGAGATGGGATGAATACACACTTCTACTTTTGCTCCTTTCAGAAACCTGCTAAAAGATCAGTAAAGTGTGATTGGAGAAAAGCCAACATGGACACACTTTTAGAAACTGGAGAGTATATGAATAATTAAAAACTGAACCCTAAATGCAATAACAGAGCAAGGCAAGAAAACAAACTGATTTACCCTCCAGAAAAAAAAACTCAAGAATGGTAGCGTGTGGAAATGGAGGCAAAAGGAAGATTAGTGGAAAGTCTGTTGAAGAAACACTTGATTCCTGAGACCTCTTCCACAAAATTAGCTAACCAGTCTGCCGGGCAAGTGCCCAGCTCCCCACTCCTAACCTTGGCAAAGCACAGGAGTTTATTTTTTTGGAATAAAATAGCAATTCTAGACTGGGAGACACCTAACAAACATAGTTGAGGGCAGTCCTGTACTGAAAATAGGACAGTGGGACTCCAGTTGTCTTTATCCTACTGGCTACCAGAGTGCTGGCAGTTAGGCCTTCATATTTCAGGCAGGAGGTTGGTGTAGTCTTTTCTGAACAATCTGACTAAAAAGAAAGACACAAAATGTAGTCATCAGAGATTCCTTAAATAAACAGCCCAGCTAGATCATTCTATGTATCACAGCTCTCAATTAGCCTCTTAGTCCTCTTCTCTTGAATATTAGCAACTAACCAAGGGTTACTAGGTATTTCATACCCTCTAAGGTATGAAATAGATTAAAATAAACAGAATAAGGCAACTTTGAGAGAACAAAGATTTTGCAGAGGAAAATAAAGGAACCATTATTGACATTCTTAGAGAAATAGAAGAAAATCATACAGTCTTTTAAGACTGTTTTTCTTTTTGTTGTGACTGCCTTGTACTCTTTCTTAGGAATCTGTAGGATATGATTCCTCAAAATGAGAAAGTCAGACAAATAAAAGGAAGATATAGGTTATAGGAAATAGGAAATTCAAAGGAGAAAGGTAAAGAAATCTTCAGGATGACAGTGAGAAGATAGGAAAAGAGGGCAACCAGCCTAGGTTAGAGTAGGTTAGAAGCCTCCAGAAGTGTTGTTTCATGAAAATGAGATTGATAGAAACCTGATGCATTTAATTATCTTTAGAAAAATTTTAAACAATTGGCGAAAGGCTTAGGGTTGAAAAGATGATAAATATATGAAATAAGTGAAAAAAGTTCTAAATTCAAGGGAAAACAGATAATGTGTAGGAATCGAGATTTTCTTCAGAATTAAGTCCTCAGTCCTTGGGGCAGGATCTGGGGTAGCTGCTGTCCATGCTGGTCTTATCAGTTTATTCCAGTGTGGTATAAATATTTCCATTATTTGATTTGGGCCATTATAGTCAGGAAGGAGAGTTGTAAAGCCCAGTGAGCAAATGTGGTCTATGTGGCCTCTTTTTGTACAGTTGATAGATTTGATTTACTAAAACAAGTGGGATATTGACCTTTAGTTTTCTTGTCTTACAGTGCCTTTGTCTGATTTTGGTATCTGAGTAAGGCTGGCCTCTTAGAATAAGTTGAAACTTGAGAAAAATTTCCTCCTCTTCAATTTTCCTAGAACATTTTGTGTAGAACTGGTATTATTTCATCCTTAAATGTTTGATAGAATTTCTCAGAGAAGCATCGGGACCTGGAATTTTCTTTATGGGAAAGTTTTAAAATATAAATTAAATTTCTTTAATAAAATATGACTATTTGAATTATCTATTTCTTCTTGAATAACCTTTTAAAATCTATAGAATCTTTAGTGATGTCCACCTTTTTCATTCTTGATATTGGTAATTTGGGTATTCTTTGAGATTATCATTCTGGGAAGAGATATATAAATTTTACTGATCTCAAAGAATCAATTTCAGTTTTCATTTATTTTCTCTATTGCTTTCCTATTTTGTATTTCATTGATTTCTGCTTTGCTCTTTATTATTTCCTTTCTTCTTCCTGCTTTGGGTGTAATTTCTTTTTCTTTTTCTGATTTCCTAAGGTAGAAGCTGAGGTCATTGGAATTTTCTTTTTAGTACAGGAATTTTTGTACTATAAATTTCCCTCAATGTACTGCTTTAGCTGCATTTCACAGGATTTGATGAGTATGATTTCATTTAGTACAAAATACTGTCTGATTTTCCTTGTGTTGTCTTCTTTAACCCAGTATTATTTAGAAGTGTGTTATTATAGTTTCCAAATATTCAAGAATTTTCCATATATCTTTCTTCTATTGATTTCTAATTTAATTTCATTGTGATCAAAGAACACACTTTCTTTGATTGAAACTTGTTTTGTGTTCCAGGAAATGATCTTATGTTGAGTATGCACTTGAAAAGAATGTGTATCATGCTCTTTTGGGGTAGAGGTTTCTATAAAATACCAATCTGGTCAAGCTGAATTGATAGTGTTGTTCATGTCTTCTATATCTTTGCTGATTTTCTGTCTGCTCATTCTCTCAATTATTAGGAAAGGAATATTGAAATCTCAAACTGTAAGTATAGATATATCTACTTCTCCTTTCTATTCTATCCTATTCCTCATACCACTGTTCTTCTGGTCAAAAAGGATTCCCCTCCTTCAGAGGTTTAAGTATCCATTCAGTGACAGCTGTCAGTAGTGAAATAGGTTTGTCTAGGGGTCAGAGCTAGAAGAAAAAGGTAAAAAGGGAAAAAAGCCAAAGGATTTTCCCCACTCTCTCTGTCCTATATGGAGCCCTCCTCACCCCCTTCATTCATACTGTCTAACCAGGAAGAGAAGACTTGTCTTGGATCTTTCCTTTCATCCCTGCTGTGCTGTTCCAGGATTTGGATTTGGA